AAGAGTTACCCTGGGCCGTGAAAAATAAGAGGCATTAGGACTGTAGCTGGAGGCCGCGGTGGTCAGCACCCGTCGTCCTGGAAGCGCTGCCTGCCCTTTGAAACCCGGGAGACTCCAGACAGGGGAGAGGCGCCCTCTTCCCGGCCCGCTGGGCTCCCTCCGGCGGAGGGCCGCTTTCTCTCGCCTTTCTCCCTCCTAGCCGGCCACCGCAAGCGCCTCCCCGTCGCCTCTCTAGGTCCTGGCTGGCCGGGCGGGCGGCGGCCCCTTCCCGGCTTCTCTGAGATGCTCTTGGGCGGTTCTCGCCGCTCTCCTCCGCCAGTTCGTTGGGCAGGTTCAACGTGGGCCGCGGTGTGTGTGTGTGTGTGTGGGATTTCCTTGGTGGTTTTTCCAGCCCCGCTGAAGGAAGGCGCGGCAAGGCGAGAGGGGCCGGGCCCTGGCTCTCCCCCTCCGCCCGGAGGGAGATTTTAAGAGCGGTCCAGGCCCGCGGCGAAGGGCTGATCCTCCCCGCCCGAAAGAGGGTCGCTGGCCAGGCCGGGGGGCGCCCGCAGGCAACTCGTCACGCAGGGTGCGCTCACTGCGGCCAAAGACAAACCGTACGCCAGCCCACAGCCAGCCTGCCGGTTGCCACGGTTGATGGGCCCGCCCGGCCCGACCAGAGAGTTGTTCCTTCTGGCGGTCGAAGCGCTTGGTCATCAACTGCCCCATCAAACGGAGGCGACACGAAAGAAAGAAAGAAAAGGAAAGAAAGAAAAGTTCTGAAGTTAAAAGAAAGTATCAAGGAAATTATCTTTCGAAAATATCTTTCGACGGGCACCTACTGACGGTAGATTACAAAATGATGTTAAAGTAATGGTGAATGGCTTGAAGTAGTATCATCTAAGAGGAAAACAAAACAAACAAAAACCGAAAAACAGGGAAAATGAAGACGTAGCTGATTAAAATAAACCCACAAGAGGTTTACCCCAAACATGTAAAAATCTTAAAATAGGGAATACGAAACGCAGGCTAATTTACTTGCTAGTAAGTTAGCTCCGAGAAAACAAGTTTTTTTTTCCCAATCACCCGAACATGCCAAATGAAGACACGCCCCTGCGTTAAATTTCTAAACTCTGGAAATATAAGATTATTAGATCAAGCAAATCAACTTTGTATTTACCAAAAGGAAAAAGAAATGTGTTTTTTCTCTGTGTCCAAATAAAGACAATATGTGAAAACGATCAACTACGAAAACCATACATAATTTGAAACAGAAAACGCTTTTATTGGAGAGTGGGATTTGTAAATATATTAGAAATTCTTGTGCCCATCGTTCTATTTCTCTCCAACCAAACCTACGTAGAATGACACTTTCCTCAATTAAAACGTAAGAAGTTATGTTGACCTTTGGTCTAGATCGGCAGGATACAAATCCAATAAATAAATAAATAGATAAATAAATAAACAAACAAACAAGACATCCCATAGGATCTAAGCAGTATTGATCAAAAGCAATATGTTCTGCTTCTCATTATTTAACAACTATTTAATGGAGTTTCAGAGTAACAGTGATTTAAACGATTTAATAATCGGAGAGTTACAGAGTTTCAATGGCTCCATGGCAGGCTTACCAAACTTTTTGAATATGAACATACAAAAGTATACAAATTACATTTAGCAAAAACCAATGCAACCAACTTTATACATGTACTTAATTGTTTACATTATTCAAAATAATCCTGGGAACGTTTGAATTATTTAGAATCAATAGTTTCCCTAAAATGTTTATAAAATATTAATACTTTATAAAATATGTATAAGTTAACAATCTGGTTGTATTCTCTGCAAGAACTTGAAGTCTTGTAATCAGCCTGTTTACATAGAGGTATCTGTTAAAAACGATCAGTGACCAAGTGGAAATCAAGATCTTCAGTTCTTGTGATTTATAAAATGGCTCATTAATGAGCTTGAGTTTGCCTCCAGCCTCCCACACCATCAGTTACAATAATAGTGGCAGCCCAGCCAGGGCAGGGGAAGATTTTGCCTTAAACCATTAGTAGTTTCCCAACAGAACTACGCAAGCCTTAAACCTAGCAGTACGTCCAACTTTTGCTACCGATCCGGATAACAAAGGTAAGAAGACAATTGCCATTTTGCTACTAGAAATGCAGGGGGAAAGGCTGTTAGGTAACGCCTCCTCGTAGACCTAAGGCACATTAAAAGCAACACCTCTGTTCACAGTTTGAATTTTTAAAAAATGGTCTCGTACTCTACCACCCCCCTCCCCAAATAAGTAGTATTCTGCTAATTGGACAATCTTTTTTTCAGCGTTTCGAATTCAATTATTTCCAAGGAGCCTCGGGAATATTCTTCCCGAGCTAAAGTACAAGGCATGTACTAAAGTACTAAAGTACAGGCAATGTTGTACCGGACTCCCAGAAGTTTAACCGAACTGTCCTCCCCAGCACTAGCACAAGAAGTTGTGCATTAGCTTATACATTAGATATATATAGGAACATGTGATGGTGTGGGGGGGGAGAGGAAAAGGTGAAATGTATTCTCTGTTGAAGAACCGCTGCCTTACCCAGGATGGGTGGGAGGACCCACTCGTCCTACTCCGATTTCAAATTGAAAGGATCTGGAGTTCATCTCTTACCCTGATCAGGGGTTCTCCGTAGTTCCCAGGCTGACAGCCAGCAACAGTCCCTAGAGCGGGGCCAAAGAGAGCAAGAGAAAGAGAGAGACGAGTCCTCTACACCCTCTTATCATCCGTTGGAGAAAGCATCGCCGCGGTCGCTCCAGCTCCGTCCCTACCACCAGGCTCCAAGCTCCAGCGGAGCCTAAACCCCAAAGGAACAAGACACCCGGTCTGGGTCTTTCTCTGAATTCAAGTGACATCGGCTCGCGATGTTGGTTTTCTTTTTCTTGTCATAAGAGAGGAGCGTCCCGACGTTGCTTCCGACGGATCCAAGGCCTCCCCAACACGACGTGAACCTAACCCGCTGCTCTTCTTCCCTCTTCCCTTCCCCCTTTGTGGCTCACTCGGCTTCACGGTACCTGGGCGCCCAAAAGACCGCGTATCTTTTTGCTACAAAGCTCAACACGGGTTCACTCGTTTTTCATTCGGTGTTACAGGTCTTGTGCCATTGCCACGTAAATGTATTTCCTTGAGAGGCATCCGTAAAGTGCATCTGATGGGGAGAATTACAAGCCGTTGCCATTTTTCCGGCGCTTTCTGTGTCAGGGCTCCGCCACAGAAAGATTAAACGGGCAGCCCTAGATAGTTAGGACCCTCCAAAAGCCCATTATTCGTCTGCGAGGGTTTAGGAGCGCCCTCGCTCTTTACACGGTTCACAGGACCATTCCCTGCGGATTTACTGGGGATGAAGTGCCACAGGATTAAGCGAAAAAGTATGAAACTTGAGAACTCTTTTCTTTTCGTCTTCCCTCAACTTTCTTCTAGTTCATACTCATATTTAGCAGACTCTGGACACTGTCCTCTCTTTCCCTAACCCTGGCATATTTCAACGGGTCCCATCCACGCCAGGGTCCTGAATCGGACCAAAGCACCTATTTCTGCCACTCTCCCCCGACTCTCCGAAATCGATGGCCAGAGTGGGTCAAAAGCCCCCCGTCCCTTTTAGGATACTGAGACGCGCCCTTCTGAGATCGTGGTTGGGGGGAAAAAATCCCACACAACACAAACACTCCACCACAACAAAAATCTACTCAGCCTTTTTTTTTCCTCCCCTCTTTTTTTTGACCCTCTAGCGCCACCGTAAAATCAGGATCTCTCTTAAGGGGGCTCATTAGGTTTTTCGAAGCTGTAATTAAGCGGCCAAAGGGCGAAAAACGAGCGCGGCTTTTCTGATGGCAAGACGGGAGGAAGGGCGGCGAGGAGGGGTGGGGGCAGTCGCCCCTTTCCCAGCGGCGAAGGAAGCGGAGGCCAGGGGCACCTTCGAGGGCCACCTTAAAAGTGGAGCGAGGGCCGGCGCCGCGGAGCGGCTTCAATTCTGAGGCGGCCTCGGGAGCAGAAACCCCGTCCCGGCGGTGGGACCGAGCGGGGTCCTGAGGCAGGGAGGCCGGTCGTTTCTCCCCGGCCTCCACAGAGAGGGAAGCCGTACCATGGGCTTCGCTTTCCTGCCCCGCGTCCGTTGCCTCTTTTGAGGGAGAGGAAGTATGCGAGGCGGCGGCGGCGGCTCCCAGTCTCCCTCACAGGGCGCAGCCTCTTCAACCCACTTTTCCTCCATCTCCCTCCTGAGGGATTATTATTATTATTGCTTCGGACCCCCTCCTCCTGCCGCTTCTGGGGCCTTAGATCCCATACTGCTTGCTCGGTTCTTCTTTCGTGATCTATTTCTTACAGTGGCCCCGCTCCCTGAAGCACCCCCCCCCCCGAGAGCGGCGGGGATAGAGAGGTGGCGGCCGGTGGCGGTTCGCCCTCCTTCTTGGCCTCGTCGCGACCTCTGCCCCAAACTCTGCCGCCCTCTTGAAAGGGCCGGACGGCGCGCGGGGCGGGTGGGGGAGGCCGGAGATTGATAGCGAGCGCGAGGGCGCGTTTGCGCTTGCGCGACGACAGAGGCACGCGACGACACCCTCGCGCCCCGGCCGTTAGGGGGTCTAAAGGGCGCGGGAGGGTAAGGGAGGCCGCCCGGTCCTCCGTTTCAGAGAAAGAGCGCGAAGGGGCGGCGAAGGAGGATGTCTCTGTTTCGCTTCCCCTCCCCCCTCTTCGCCGTGTCCCCGCCGAGGATTTGGTCGGGACCCATGCGTAGCTTTCCCCTCCTCCCTTTTGGCGTGAGGAAAAGCGGGCGGTGTTTGTATGTGGGGGGGGGAGAGAAAGGGCCATGTGCGTTTGTTTTGAGGCCCGGCTGCCCTCGCAGGCCACTCAGGAGGAGAGAGAGATGGAAGAGAAGCGCCTAGAACGGGCACGCAAGTGGCTTCCCTCGCAGCCCCCCCCCCCCCCCCCCCCCCCCCCCGGGCCCCCCCCCCCCACCCCCCC